TAATTTTCAAGTACATGGAATTTTCCATTCTAATTTTATTGCATTTGATTGGAAAACAGAATGTATGATATGAATCACATGGAACTTAGTGACAAATCCTTTGAATGTCCTAAAACTTTTCTACATAAAGTGTAGTCCACGGACTAGAAGTATTGGCGTCACCCAGAGAATTGTTAGAAAGGCAGAAACTCACACCCCACCCCGCCTATTGAATCAGAATCTGCATTTTAACAAGAACTCTACATGATTCATATGCACATTACTGGCCTAAGCAGCCCTGCCCTAGCACCTGGGCAAATGAAACCTCTCAGGTGGGAATACCTGCACCAGTCTCGGATCCTAGTAATGTTCTACTTCTTAATTAGAATGCAGGTACATGGGTATTCATTTTATTCTTATTTTTAAACTATACAGATATGTTTTATGTACTCATTTTAATGTATATTTTGCTGTAGAAGATATTCAAAGAAATCTAATCACGTGGGGTATGACCAATGCCAACACCTCGATCACACTGACGACAAGATGAACTTATGTGGGTAGCTTCATTATGATTAGCTCCCATCCCTTGGGGCTAGAAAGTTTCTTTCCATTTATGGTAAGATTCATCTCACTTTCAGACAATTTAAAAATTTGGCAGCTAGGAGGGTGGGAGCAGATACTTTTAGAAACAGGGACGGTATTTTCCCAGCCCTGGGCTGGACAGCCTCGCAGCCGTGGTCCAGTTATACCCCACGGAGGTGTTCTGGATGCCGAGCACACAGTCATGCTTATAAAACGGAGGGCATCAGTAACCTAAAACCAGTGGTCTTTCCCTTTGTTATTCAGGCTTTGGTGGAAAAAAATGCTGGCAAAAAGCGGGGCACTGCAAGAAATACTGCAGAGTCGACGAAGAGCTAAAAGCACCATGTGGAAATCGTCAAGTCTGCTGCGTTCCGGTGAAGAAAGACCGCAAGCCAGTGAGCCCTGTCAAGGAAGTGCCCAGGACTTTTTCCACACAGGCAAGTCATCTTCCAGCAAGTCCTATGGATTTCATTGTAAGGGTACCATCCACTTATCCCGACATGGAAGTGGACTTCTCGGAAACAGAAAATGAGCAGTCTGACCAGGTACTGGACACTGAGATGTCTACCCCACCAGTTCATCAAAGTTCATGACTTCCTCTCAGCTGTCACCCACCTGTCCTCCAAGTGATGGACTCAGGTGTGCAAAGTACTGAAAATACAGCAGCGACACACTCTGCCCTCCATCAATGTGTGATTCTAGATAACAAACAGCTGTGTAAGGAAGTTCAAAAACTCCCAGTACTGCCAATGGTAAACTCCTCAGTGCTTTTCTCGAAATGTGCAATTACTTCCATGACAAATTTTAACCCAGTTTTCGTGCCCCTCAGTTGCTGGTGCCCTACACACAGCCTTAATCACTTAGTTAAGTATTCCAGCACTAATCTTTCCATTTGTCCGTCTGTCTTCTTAACAAGTGGTTTGGGATTCCAAAGGCACCTCTGGTGTCATTCCTGCCTCTTGATGGCAGTGTAAATTGTCACAATCAAAATTTTAAATCCTTGCATTTATGAGCCCTGGCCAGTGTGGCTCAGTGGGTTGATCATCTTCCCATAAACCAGAAGGTGGTCTTTTGATTCCAGGTCGGGACACAGGCCTGGACTGTGGGCCGGGTCCCCACCAGGGGGCTTGTGAGACGCAGCCGATATAGGTGTTTCCCTCTCACATCCATGTTTCTCTCTCTCTCTCCACCCCTTCCCTTCTCTCTAAAAATAAATAAGTAAATAAATAAAATCTTTAAATCCTTGCATTTATGAGAGTAGCTTCTAGAATGCTAAAAGCTTTCTTTAGAACAGGATACGCCTCAGGGGAAAGCATCCGTTTCCCTACGAGCTTTGGCTCCAAAGCCCTGTATTACTACTCCCTGTAGGAAATGGCCTGGCGCAGGTATGAGCTCTGAGGCCTCCTTTTGGCCCCAGTTGCTTCCGGTTGGACTAGAATCTGTCGAAGGGCTGCCCTCATGGGCACATGACCTTGAGCAAGCCTTGATCACACACAGATGTCCAAAGGTAGGCCTTTTAATTGTGGGAGAGAGATGGGCCATCTCATCCATCTGGTTACTGAGAGCTTCACTTGTCTCTCTGATGGCATAAACATATCAAGTACAAATTGCTTTTTTACCAAATAGTCACGGGGGTGTAAAGCACGGCACAAGAAATGTAGTCAATACTATTGTACTAACTTTCTATGGTATCAGGTGGGTACTAGACTTATCAAGAGGGTTACTTTATAAATTAGAAATGTCTAACGGCTATGCTGTATGCCCAAAACTAACATAAAATAATATCGAATGTCAACTGTAATTGAACACTTTTTTAAATTTTAGACTTGAATATCTTCACAGCCCATGCTTTTTCAGAGAGGTGCATCCACAGAGCACCACCACGTACCTCATTGCTATGAGTCCTCTCATCCTGCCCTTTCCGAGACCCGGACCGACCCGCCAGCCAGCCCACTATCACTGTCCACGAATTACTGCGGGTCCATACTCTAGACCTCCCCTCCTTCTGCGGAAAGGCTTTTCCTTGCTCACTGTCAAATTCTAGACCTGAAGTCTCGGTTTTGAGCACGCCGTTTCCACCTAACACGGGAATGCTTCTCCACAGGGGTCCGATAATACTCAGTTGATGGGGAATTCAAATCTCATGAATTTATTTTTTCAGCTGATTATTAAAATTACTCTGATGATCACTTGAATTTTGGAAGTCTGCAAGTCTGAATCTCTGGTCTGCAGTTTCTCTCGGCCTTCATTCACGGAGCCTCATTGCCTTGTGTGCTCGTGACTCAGGGCTCTGAGCTGCGCGTTGGCTTGGATTTTCATCTGAGTGAATTAACCGAGTCCTGACTTCAAGATCTGCCTCTTCATTTACTTCTGTCAGACAGCTCTGGCACTTCTAGCTTGGGACAACTTTAAGCTAAATCGTCAGCTGTATGTTTTTTTCCTCCCAGACCATCTATACACTGTAAGTTCAGGCTAAGAGACTAGGTAAGAGCCAGCTTGTGGTTTTAAATTGTTAGTGGAGTTGTTTTTTCTACGTACTGAGTACAAAGTTTCAAGACCAGGCAATTGTCCTTGAAACATCTGGTGAAGGAGGAGTGTTGCAGCTGTTTTATGGTCACATAGATTATGTAGCCCTTCCAGGGCTGAAATTTATGCAGGACTCTCCTGTCAGACTCAGCCGTCCAGACCCCAGGCACTCTCTCCTCTCCCCCGCCTTCCCCCGCTCCCCTGGCCGAAGCCACGGAAACCACAGCTCAAGTTCACTTGGTTCAGCAAATGCTTCAGTTACTGCCTTCGCAAAAGCACCTGGTTTCCCTTGACCATCATATTCTTTACTCTTTTTACAAGGTCAAAGCTGCCTAAGAAGTTTTTTGTATAATTTAAGTAAGTTATTTTAAATATTTTCAGTAGGAGGGTTAATTTTGGTTTTTAGACCATCATTCTGCCAGAAACACAGGTCCAGAACCAACACTTTTCTCTAGATGATATGTTTTCTTTGTTGCTGTGAGAGGGTGGGTGGCAGCACCGAAGCAACGAGAAAGAAGACGATTGTCAAAGGATAAAATTATCCGTCGGTGTCTGAAATCAAAGTGATGAAATGGTTGCTTTCTTTAGCAAAAGAGAGCCATGCTGGTCAGGCCTAGGCTCGCTGAGCAGAACAAGGAGCTGAACTTACATGGCTTTGGGAAGAAGCATCTTAGGGGAGCACTGTTGGTTACAGATGTGCAGGCGGGTGGGGGACAACTTAGAAGGGTGTACACTGAGGGGGACCCAGAGCCAAGTGGATGACTTTCAGGGCATAATGCCGTCACTGACAATTTGGTTTTCGGAAGTGTGTGTACTGGAGTGAGTTGTCGCTGACCTAGAAGGAAGACTTAAAAACATTTTACTTGTTATCATGGCAATAGAACTGTCAGCCTTTTCCTAGGAATGGGAAGAGTTTTTATTCTCACAAGAGAAGAGAAACTTTAGGGGATACAATGAGGCGAATGGCAGAGGAATGCCGGAAGATGATGGAGAAGGCGCAGCCCAAAAGTTAGGAAGAAAACAAAGAAGTCACAGAAGCCAACCAAGATAAGGTTTTCAGCTGGGGAATGAACTGTGGTCAAAAGTGCTACCGAGAAGCAGAGTGACACATTAGTGGAGCAATACCCATGAACCTTTCAAAAAGGAGCCCATTTGGTGACCTTGGCCAGAGCCCGTTCAGTACAACAATAAACACAAAAACACATTGTACTGAGTCGTGGGAAGGCACAGAAATAAAGAGAAGTAATTGGCAAGTGTAGCTACTTTCCTTTGGAACTACGGAGAAAGAAGTTAGATATTAGTGGAAGTAAGGCATAAACAGTAAAATTAGAATGTTACCTTAAAAAGCCACTGTTGGTTGTAATTGGGGGCACAAGCTTCCTAGATTGTCGGGAATTAGAAGACCTTAATAATTACCAAAAAGAACAACAGCATTCAATATTCCAGTTCCTTCCCCAATAACACCTAACTTGACACTTTGAGAGGACAACTTATTCTTTCTTACAGCAGCTGGTTAGGAAGTTCTTCCATGAGCTAAGACATATTTGTCTGCAAGACCTTCACCCACTGGCCCATGGATGTACCCCTAGTTCTAGCCCGCCCCCAAGCCCCACAGAGCATGGATGAAGTCGAGGCTCTGCCTAGCCTAGCCCTCAACCTGCCCCCAGGGGGCTCAAGTCCATTCTCTCCCTATCTTCACTGATTTGGAGATTCTTTCTTTTCTTAGCACTCCTTTTCTAGATTTCTCTCTCATAGGACTAGACCCAGAAGGCAACAGGTGTCTCATCATGCAAAGCTCAATTGCACCTCGAGTTAAATGGATGAAAGACAAGAGTGTCAGGTGCATGACTTTAATGAGGGGTTTGGACAGCAGGGTGAGGACGGTGATCACCAGCGCTCAGGACATTTTGGCCAGTGGATCTCTCACCTCCAGTCACTATCGTCTTCTGTGCTGAACATGTTTATCCTCATGTAGGACTGGAGGCAGCATGATCGATAATCTCTGCAATAGAGGTAGGGATGTTCGGTCTTTTTGCAAGAAGTTCTGCAGATTCCCTTGTCACCCATGCATCGAAGGATCTGACGCTTGCCTGGACAAAAAAAAACAAAGACAAAACAAACAAATACTTAATTTCCACTTAGCAATAATATAGATGTGAGGAGTCAGGGAGCATAGTCAAACCTAAAGGGCTAAAATAGTAATGACACACCACTGCACACCTATTAGAATGGCCAAATCCTGGAACGCTGCGAACACCAAGTGTGGGCAAGGTTGTGGAGCAACTGGAACTCGCACACATTGTTTGTACAGGCACTTTGGAAGAGGGTTTGATGGTTTCTTGCAAAACTAAACATACTCTTACCATACAAACCAACAATTACATCCTTGGTATTTACCCAAAGGACTTGAAGCTGATGTCCACACAAAAGTCCACACACAGGTGTTTATGGTAGCTTTACTCTTAATTCCCAAAACTTGAAAGCCACCAAGATGTCCTTCAGTAGGTGAATGGATAAAGTCTGGTATCTTCATACAATGGAATCTTATTCAGCACTAAAAAGAAATAAGCTATCTGCCCTGGCTGGTGTGGCTCATTGGATTGAGTGCCGGCCTGCAAACCAAAGGGTTGCAGTTTCAACTCCCAGCCAGGGCACATGCCTGGGTTTCTGGCCAGGTCCCCAGTAAGGGGCACAAGAGAGACAACCACACATTGATGTTTCTCTCCCTCTCTTTCTCCCTCCTTTCCTCTCTCCAAAAATAAATAAGTAAAATCTTTTTAAAAAGAAATAAACTATTAAGTCATGAACAGACATGGAGGAAGCTTAAATGCAACCACTAAGTGAAAGAAGCCAATCTGAACAGGCCACATACTATATGACTCCAACTCTATAACATTCTGGAAAAGGCGAAACTATGGAGGTAGTAAAAAGGTCAGTTGTTGTCATGGGGTGGGGTCGTGGAGAGATGAATAAGCAGGGCACAGAGGGTCTGGGTGGCAGGAAAAACTCTCTGTGATACTGTAATTGTGGATTCGTGTCATTATACATTTGTCCCAACCCAGGGACTGGACAACACCAAGAGCAAGCCACAATGTACACTGTGGGCTTTGGGTGATTGTGATGTGTTGGGGCAGATTTATCAATGGTGACAAATGTACGCTCCAGTGGGGGATGTCGATAATGGGGGAGGCCGCATGGGAGCAGAGAGCACATGAGAAAGCTCTGTGCCTTCTTCTCACTCCCGCTGTGAACCTAAAACCAGCCTACAAAAATAGTGTGTTTTAAAAAGGAATCCCTTACGAATAAACAAAGCTGCTATGAACATTCATTTACAGTTTTGAAACTAAATTTTTCATTGCTCTGGAACCAATACCCAAGAATGCATTTTCTGGGTAGTGTGGTGAGTATATTTTTGGTTTTTTAAAAAGGGAAATTGCCAATCTATTTTCCAGAGTGGCTGTATCATTTAACATTCTCACCAGCAATGTATAAAAGATCCAGTTTCTCCGCATCCTTGCCAACATTTGGTGCTGTCACTATTTTTAATCTTAGCTATTCTAATAAGTATGTGGTCACATCTCATTGTAGCCTTAATTTGTACTTCTTTTTTTTAAAGATTTATTTATTTATTTTTAGAAAGGGAAGGGAGGGAGAGAGAGAGACAGAGAGACAGAGAGACAGAGAGAGAGAGAGAGAGACATCAATGTGCAGTTGCTGGGGGTCATGGCCTGCAACCCAGGCATGTACCCTGACTGGGAATCGAACCTGCGACACTTTGGTTTGCAGCCCGCGCTCAATCCCCTGAGCTACGCCAGCAAGGGCTTAATTTGTATTTCTTTAATTGAACATCTTTTCATGGGCTTATTTGCCATCTGTGTATCTTCTTCAATGAGATGTCTTTTCATGACTTTCTTCTATTTGGATTTTTTTTACTGTTGAGTTCTGAGTTGCTCCTGTGGTCTACATACAAGTCCTTTGTCGAATAAGTGGTTTGAAAATATTCCTCCCAGTCTGTAATTTGTCTTTTCACCTACTCTTTTCACAGGGCCTCTCTCAGAGTGAAAGTTTTACATTTTGATTAAATCCAATTAATTGATTTTTTCTTTTTGTGAATTATGCTTTTCATATCTAAGAACTTTTCACCTAGCCCTACACCTGAAAATTTTTTCCTATGTTTTCTTTTAGAAGATTTAAATCTTTGGTCCATTTTGATTTAATTTTTTATAAGTTTTGAGGTTTAGATTGAGGTATTTGTGGTCTTTTGTTTATATGTGTGTTTTGTTTGTTTGTTTGTTTTGCCCACAAATTCCGATGGTTCCAGCACCACTTGTTTAAAAGAATATCTTTCTCCCATTGAATTGCTTTGGGCAATTTGAGTTGTACTTGTGTGTGACTATTTTTAGTCTTCTTGGCCTTTCCACCAATACCAGCCTGTCTTGATTACTGTAGTTAAATACATCTTGAAATCTGTGAGAATGATTCCTCCAACTTTATTCTTCTTTTCAAAAAGAAATACATGCATTTGTGAGGTGATGGATGTGTTAATTAACCAGAGAGGGGGATTTTCACAATGTATATATATATCAAATCATGAAAATGGCCACTTTAAGTGCCATACACTTTTATATGTCAATAAAGCTCAAATCAATTAATTAAAATACAAATAAATAAAATAACTCTAAGGAGCTATAGAGTGGTTAATAGAACAGGATTGGAAATCAAGACCCTAGGTTCAAATCCCAGCTCCGGCTTTACCTATAGTGTAAACTTGGACACATTTTTGTATTGTCTCTTCTACTCTTTCTTCCTCTGCATGGACTGTAATAGCCCCTATCTCTTGGGTCAACCTCTTAAGCCCAAACTTCTGAACCTGGCAATCAAAAGCCTGACATTCATCCACAAATGGTTATCAGCACCCAACCTTTGCCAGAGCTTGTACTTGGTGCTGGGCACATAGGGTCTCCTGTGTCCAAATTGGCTTAATGCCTAATGTACAGTCTAATGTACCTGTGCACCCAGGCACACTTGCAATGATGCCCTAAGTTCTTGCACTGAATGAAAGGGATTCACTGCTTTTTATTTTGAAAAGAGAGCATGTTTTGCCTAAGTGAGGGTGAGGAGAGATAAGGAGAAAATATTTTTACTCCTGTGGATCTTGGACATGAATTGAAGATGACTTCCTCATCTAAGTACCAAATGTAACTTAGATTAATGGAACTGGTGTGCAGAACAGAGGCTGAGCTGAGCTTTAGCTGCACCGGCAGACTTGTGTGTAAATGCTAGGAAATGTCCAGGACAGGTGCCCAGTCCATCCTGCTTTGGGGTCACAATGCCTCTATAACTGTCAGTTGAACCTCTCACCCACAGGCGCGTGCTATTTACTGCCAGTGTTCTGCCCGCCTTCATCAGCCCTCAGCCTATGAGGAAGAAGAGAGAGACTCGGGGAAGCCTGGCTGGAGCAAGCACCCCACCCTTCCTGCCACGTCCCCCGGACGTGAGGTCCGTTCCCGTCTTCCCTGAGAAGGAAGGCCGCTGCGAGATTTGCTTCCAAGAGAAGTTTGTAGAAGTTCATGGCTGAGATGGCAGAGCAGGCAGGCAAGCCTGTTTCAAACCTTCCCCCTGGAGAAAAGCCGTAGCACCACAGAGAGGGCATTCAAAGGTGCCCAACCAAAGCTTTCATCAGGGGCTTTGCAGCACCTAGCATCTGCCCCCCTGTCGAGCCCACGCTGCTCTGCATCAGCACTCACTGTCATCACCCACATCGGCCCCATCCCATCTCACGTCTCCCCTCAGACGTGACCTGCCTATTAATCTCCGCGTGACCTTGAACCTGCTTATGAACATAGGTCACTTTTCCTCCTTGGGCCTCGGTCTCCCCATCTGTGACATGGGAAGACAGGAAAGTCGCCTAGATCAAAATTTCTCAGCGTTTGAGGGCTATGAGGAATGAAGGAAGTCCTGTGGGGAAATCAGAGGATGGGACCTTGTCTCCCAAAGAAATAATCAGAGGGAATTTCAAAAATTTCATATGCCCAGATCCCAGGTTCAGAGGTTCAGGCACAGGGATAATCATCTTCTGAAAACTTACCGTGTCTCAGTGTTGCGTTCCAAACCGTTTTCTCACCCCCAGAGCTGCCTCTGGGTGCCCCGTGTAAAGCATGGGAGACTTGTGGTAAACGCTGTTGGCCGAGTGAATAGGTGAGGCCTCACATGAATTAACTTGGTCGGGGCGTTAACTTGGTCTTGGTCTTGGTGAGGAGAGGGTAACACCAGGCCTCAGGTATTGGAGAACCCTGAGACCACCTCGGCCCACCTCCCATGCTATGAAATCAATGTCTTTTAAGAGCAAACTACTGGATGAGTGAGAACCCACTTGAGCAAGGCCCGGGAGCTCTTCTGCATCTTTCCTCGCAGTGCGAGCCAGAGCCGAATATACCTGAGGCAGCAGTCCTCTGATCCCTGCGGCTCAGAAAAGACCCCGCCCTGCTTCATACCCGATACATTAGCCATTTGTGCCCACACCCCAGTCCACTCGTGCTCTCAGGCGTGAACTCTTCATTCATGTGTTCATTCACTCGGGAAACACTCACTAAGTCGCATCCGTGCCAAGCACTGCCCTTGACAGCAGGCATGTGGACGTAAATAAGACGCCTGGCATGCGTATGTTTGGGAGATTAGTGGGAAGCAGGCAGTGCCTGAAATAATTACACAATAACTTGATATGAGCCACACCTTCATAAGAGTGACACTTTGTGAAGCCAATCAGAACTCACTTTGAATCCCTGCTCTACCTTAATGTTGCGTGACCTTAGCTAATTATGCCACCTCTCCAGATCTCAGCTGCTTCATCAATAAGGATGGGATAACAAGAGGGCAGTTGTAAAAATGGAGTAATTTCAGGCCTACAAATACCACACACAGTGCCCAATATGTAAGTGTCAATGAGAACTATTATTATAATTTTAAAAAGTAGTTTGCTTTACCGTGGCATGTGTGGCTCAGTATATTGAGTGGTGGCCTGAGAACCAAGCAGTTGCCAGTTTGATTCCTAGTCAGGGCACATGCTGGGGTTGCAGCCCAGGTCCCCAGTAGGGGGCGCATGAGAGGGAACCACACATTGATGTTTCTCTCCCTCTCTTTTTCCCTCCCTTTCTCTAAAAATAAATAAACAAAATCTTTTTTAAAAATAGCGAGCTTATGTGAAGTCTTTCATGAGTATGGGCATCAGCTGGGCTTTGAAGGGGGAAAAGGACTTCATCACAGAGGTGAGCCCGGTGATGCAGACAAGGTGGAGGACTGTGAAGAGGAGTAGCTGAAGAGAAAGCCTGTAAGCAGCAGTCACGAGAGATAAGTGGAGAGCAACATGGTCAGGTGAATTTCCAAGAAAGAATCCCTCTGACAATAGGAACTAATGCAAAGAAACTCTGGAGGCAGGGAAGCCTGCGAAGTGTTCTGGCCTCACCCAGGGCCTCAGGCACAGGTGGCTACAGCCTGGGATTCCCCAGGCACAGACCGGCCCTGAGACCGAAGCACAGGGTACGCATCTCTTGCCTCTGAAGTGGGTTTGGAGATGGGTTGTGAGCCAGAGCAGGATCCAAACTCCTGGCACAGCCCCAACATTGTGGGCCCTGGGCTAATCCAAATGGAGGCTCATAAATTATATGTCTGAATATGTACCAGTTGTGAATCAAGCAAACAAACAGAATAAATAAAATGTATCCTAATCGCCTTTTATGAATATCCTTTTATGATCACCTGAAGCGTCAGATCTGACTTTACGATTCTTGGATTCTTCAGAGTTCCACGCAGGAACGTGGAAGCCTGAGGCAGCTGGCTGAGCCCACAGCCTGCCTCTCCTCTCACCCATGCCCGGCTCTCCCCACACAGCGCAGAGGTTCACGCGCACAGACATGGACACTCCGGCCCGAGCATCCGAGCTCTGCCACAGCCTCTGACATTCTCCTGCCTGGGAGTGAAAGGCCCTCGCAGTCCCTGGAAGCAGGAACAGGGATTCTTTGGGCAGGAAATTGCAGGTCCCAGCTATTCAAAGCATAGTCTATGAAGTCATGAGGCCACACTTTCTAGGTGAACATAGTATCTCCCCTGCCCCCATGAACCCCTCGCCGCACTGGAAGGGACTAAGCCTAGGAGAAGATCAGGATTAAAGAAGGGGGAGGAGTCTCTCTTCCCAGAGCCTGAGAGTGGACACACTGACTTGAGGGCAAATTGTCTGCACCGGTCAGAGCAAACTCCTCTGATCTGCCTCTGCGTCAAGAACCACGCTTCACAGAACACCGCGTTCTCCGACCTCACCGCACGAACACAGCGTTGTTCTCTCGTGTCGGCTACATAAAGCCTAGAGAATGGGGTCTAAGATAACAATGCCTGGGAAGATACCTCTAGAATCCTCTATATTCCCAATTAGAATTCTTGATCATTCCCCATAGGTGAGCCTTCTCCCAGGCAAAATTTTTAGTTCCAGTGAGACTCGCTCCTATGGCCCTCTGAGTCTAACGCAATTGGAAGATGCATAGCGCACATTCCTTAAATGCCTGGATAAATCGATGAACAAGAGCAACAGCCAGCATTTACTGAGACTTTACTGGGCACTGGGCACTGGGCTCGACGTGTTCTCATTTCCTCCCCACCCCACCCGGAGACAGAGTCTCTCATCCCGGTTTTACCCGCGGGGAAGCTGACGTCCTGAGCCATGAACGCGCATGTCTGACAGCAGCGGGTGGCAGAGCCGAGGTGAGTGAACGAATGAATGAAACCATGAAAGAATGTAGAGAATGAAGAATATATACATTTATAAATTAGTAAATTCATGTATTTTATCTTTTTGTAGTACTTGGAAACTTTCTGATCCTTGAGACTGTGCACTCTCGAGCATCAACAGGCATCTCAGTCAACTTACCCAGAAATCCAAGGGTTTGGGCTCTACTCAGTCCCTGCTCACCCCTAGTCCATTCGCCCCCAAGATAGACCGACTCTCCGAGTCCAGGAGATCCTTCCCCCCCCCCCAGGCATCCGCTGTGCCTCTCAGGCTCAGCTTTCCACGTGTGCTCCTCAGTCCACTCCTGGCCCAATAGCCTTTCCTGCAGCTGGAAGATGAGGAACAATCTTCAAGACTGTAATCATCACTCCATTGCTGTGGCCCAGCCTCGGGGATGTCCCTCCACTACCCACGAACCCCTGTCTGCCTTCTCCTCACCCTCGATCCATCTGGAGTGTCATTTCCCATGATTGACAGGCACAAGAAAGAGATTTGTGACTTTTAGTGGAATGTGGAAACTAAGAAACTTGAAGTAAAGTCATTCCTAGCCACGATTTCCATTTATCTTCCGACTCTGTGGCCAGGTCTGCCCTTACGTTTCGGTTTTCTAGTAGGCCGAGGAGTGGTCCAGGGCAGTATCCCATCAATTGTTACTGGTTCCATTGTTAAGTAACGGCTAAGGATACAGCACCGTTTACGATTTGGGCAGCGTAAGACGTTCTCTTCATCATCTTTGCACACCAACCGGCACTGTCCATTCATCCAACAGGATACTATTGAGTACAGGAACAACCGTGTTAGTATCCCTCAAGGCAGGCGGGGGCAAGAGGAAGCAGAAACGGAGCAGGAGGACAGGGGGAAGGGCAGAGAGAAGGTTGAGTCTGCGATGCTGGAGCCAGTCCCAGGAAAGGAGAGAAGAGATCTGAGAGGGGAAGGAATGGAGACAATTGTTCCAAAACTGGGAACACCAAGGTTTTTAAAAAAGCTTTTTTCAGACATTCCACCCTTCTGTCTTCCTAGTCCCCAACCTTCTACTTCTAAGTTTGGGATCAATTACTGCCATTGACGCTCAAACCTAATGGAGCATGGGAATAATGGGAGAAGGACAAAAACACCCTATAATATAAGGGGATGAAGGGGACTCACCACGCTTCAACAGAGCCGCCTCTCCATCAGTAGCCTGGCCCCCTCTAACTTAAGCCCAACAAGCCCCAGCTCCAGCTACAACCCAATCTCCAATTCCCCTTAACCGCATATTCACCTAATCCCAACTCAAAACCCAGTCCAATCTTAATCAGAACTCCCAGCCTTACCCAGCTCAATGCCCCTTGAGCCCCATCTCCAAGCCAAACCCAAATCCAAGCAAGTTACCAACCTCAGTTCTGAGCAGCAGTCCCTCGCCACACTGCACCTCTAATAGACACCCTGCAGCATCCGGCACGACTCCCAGCCTCAGGCCAACCCCCAGTCTAGTCTCCAACACCAGCTTCACTCACCCAGAACCCCGTGCCCTCTCCAGCCCACCCCAAACCATCAGGGCATCCCAGCTCCTCACCTCCGGCTCATCCAAACCCTCCCTCCCTCACGCCAACCCTAAGGTCTTTCTCCCTCCTCACAACTCACCCCAGCCTTCAATCTAATCTCCCAAAGCCCCCAAAAGTCCCCCACCTGCACCCAGACGTCCCCCTGAGCCCACTCCCAAGATCCCACCGGAATACTATCCTGCCCTCAAGTGCCAGATGCTCCGAACATCTGTCATCCCACCACCTTGGCCAGAAAAACATCAGGGAGAGATGTGGACACGGGGTGATAATGGGAAAACCTCCCAAAGCCACAGGAAGTGGGGCAGAGCTTCACCTGCAGCCCGCAGCCAGGAGGAAAGGGAAGAAGAGGAGTTCATGACCGGGATCCCAGACACCTGGGAGACCTGAGTTACCTGACACCACCGGTTCGGTGGCCAGAAGAATGGTGAGAAACAGGAGGAATAGAGGTTTCATGGCTGGCAGGTCGCAGGAGGAGGAGGTGGCTGTGTTGCCGGGGATAGAGACAGAGCTCTCTGCAGTCTGGATGAGCCTGGCTTTTATTGGCAGGGCCGTGGGCAGTGAAGTATAGCGGGAGAGGATTTGTATGAGATCAGCCAGGCCACAGGACAGCGTGTAGCCAATGTGGCCACAAAGCACAAGGGGAGCATGTGGGAAACCGGCCAGCACCCGGGCAAAGCGGCTTTCCCTCCTGATAAGAGCCGTTTGGCTTTTTGAGACCCATATGCACATTATTTGATTGATACTTAAACACAAGTCAAGAAACATTTAATTAAAAAAACAAAAACATCCTCAGTTTTTTTAACAGGAGGATACACACATGTATCGTTTCTGAACCTTGAACTTGCCAATCTCACTGGCAGGTCAGGGAATTTGTTCTTCTGCAAGGTCTCTCCTGCAGACCTTGCCATGGCTGGCTTCTGCTCACCCCTCAGGCTCACCCCAAACGTCGCCTGCTTGGAGAGGCTTTCCCTGATACCCCGGACAACGAACAGTGCTCCCACCTGCAGTCCCCCAGTCTCATCATCAACGGTGCTGTGACCTTCACAGGTTTCTCAGTTCCTTCTAAACTTGATTTTACATGTGTAACCTTTGTCTTTCTCATTAGGATGTCAGAAATTTTCATCGGAACCCCAGTGCCCATCACATCGGCTGGTGTAGCTAAGTGTAGTTGGAATACAATTCGGAGAGTAATTCAACTATTTTAACAAATATTCTTTCCCCAAACAATAATTCCAAAAGGCAGACTTTGGTTTCTTTTTTTTTGTTTAAATTTACCATAGTCAATTTTTTTAATTCCTCATCTGAGGATATGTTTATTGATTGTTTTTTAAGAGAGAGAAACACAGATGTGAGAGAGAAACACTGATCAGCTGCCTCCCGTGTGCATCCCGACTGGGGATTGAACCCACAACCCAGGTGTGTGCCCTGACCAGAAATCAAACTTGCAGCCTTTTGGTGCACAGGACGATGCTTCAACCAACTGAGTCGCCTGGCCAGGGCTGGCTTGTTTTTTATGTAAAAGTCTGGGCAAGCAGCTTAGTGTAGCGGCTTCACCATTCAACAGAAGCCAGAAATATTTTCTTTATTCTGGGCAACCATGGCTAGCTAAAATTCAGGGGTTGTCTTACTGAGAAGGGGAAGACAGCTACAGAAGAACAGCTAGAAACCTCTGACACACCTGGCACATTGCAGGTGCTTAGTAAGTATGTGTAGGCTGAATAAGTAACATACACTCGGTAAGGCCAAGAGAAGTGGTCTAACAGGGCGGCAACACGAGTCCTTCCAGAGTGCGGGCAAGGCCTGTGACCTGTGCCCCTTCCGCTGAGCTCTGAAGAAGCTGAGTAATGGCTGGGCCTCAGGCAGAACTTACGAGACTTTGAGGGAAGAGAAAGGAGAAAATTCTAGTATATATAGTAAAATACTCGGATTAGAGAACAGGTTTTGGTATCACACAGATTTGGACTTGAGTGTTGGCCCCGACACTTGGTACCTGTTGACCTTGAATAAGGCAAATTTTCTGAGCTTCCTATGATAAAATCCAAATCATAACCGTACCCGATTTACTAAAGTGGGATCACTTATGTAAATCGCTTAGTACCTGACACATAGTTGGTGCTGAATAATTATTAACTATTATTATCGTTGCTCTTCATTATTGTTATTATTGCCAGCCTCATATTTACCATCATTACCTTCAGAACAGTCCTCAGAAGTAGAAATCGGAAACCTTAGACTGACGTATGACAAAACTGAGTCTCAGTCAGGTGAAGCACGCTGCTCGAGGGCGTCCTGGCAGGGGGAAGAAAGGAGAGCAGAAAGCAGGCTTCCGTAGACGGAGGACAGGACAGTGGTCAGTAAACAGCTGTGACTATCTGTGACAGAAGGGGCGGCATCAAGGCAGGTGAGGCAGACAGCAGGTCCTCAGGGGAGGAGGAGCCGCCGCCAGCCCACACTGGGGGCTTTGGAGTCCATCCTGTAAGAAACTGGCAGCAGGGAGTTCTTGTAGAGAGGACCATGGTGGCGTGGTCAGAATTTGTATTTTTAACCTCGAAAAAATCACTCTGACTGCCAGTGCTGAAGATCATTACCGGGGCAGAGGCATGCGAGGGAAGATTAGTAAGGAGGCTGTTTCCCTAGGGGGGAGAGATTGCAGTGCCTGCTTTGTGGCTGAGAGAGCATACGTAAAGAATGTCAGAGAAGAACAGCATCGCTAAAAGCTGGAACCCTCAGGGGAGAGCCCTCCCCAGGCTGGGGAGAGTAGCCGCAGTAGCCAGCTAAGGAGCGCTGACTCTCTGCTAGGTTTAGTGACAAGTATTTCACAGGTGTGGTCTCCTTTCACCCTCACAACAACCAGAAAGAGTTTTCCCCCATTGCAGTGATTTGAAAACTAAAGTTCTGAAGTTAACCTTTTGCCCAGAGGACCGCGTGAGGAATCCAGGATTTGAACCCAGGTCCAACTGGCTCCCCGTTATGGCGCTTCCACTCACAACTCTATCTCCGACTGTTTCTTCAGACTTGGGGCAGCAGGGGCCCAGCTGCGTGGGGAGGGCCATCTGATGAAGCCTCTAGGGTTTCTTGCCTAGAAAAATGTGAGGAGCCCCCACAGAGAGAAGGGAGGTACGACTGAAGTAACGCTGCCTTGTGCCCTTCATTATTTTATAACAGCTTTACTGAAGTATAATTTCAATGCCATACAACCCACTCATGAAGTGGACAATGCAGTGAGTTTTAGCACAGAGCTGTACCACCTCCGCTACAGTCCAATCTTGGAACATTTCCATCCCCCCCAAATACCCCGCATACCAGTCTGTAGTCACTACCCATTCCCGCCCCCAGCTGTGATGAAAGTAGTGTTTATGATCATACCATCGGCCATCTGTTGAGCATCGTCTGGGGTTAAACCGCACAGGGAGATACACACGACTAAGCAGAAACCGTGGCTCAGGGAGGCGAAATGACTGCGCCTGGGGCACCGGGAGGGTCAGGATTCAAACCCAGGACTCTCTGGGTCAGACCAAGGAGAAGGTTCTGAGGAAATGTGTGTGTAAAGATGTGAGAGATGTAACACTATTGAAGCTGAGGAGAAATACACTGCATAATTAGAAATATTGAAAATATGAAAGAGGGAGTGGGTCGTTGATAGAGAAAAATCCAAGGGAAGCAGAAGGGAGCGGAGTCAAAGGACTAAATGGGAACAGGGGACTTCAGCAGAGAGAGTTTTCTTCTGAGAGGAGCAAAGTTTTGTAGAATGACTGCATAGCGCTGTCCTTAAAACTTCAAACTGTTACGTCAAGAAGACCTGAATTCAAATCCTGCCTCTGCTACCTATGCGGCTGCTGTAGATGTTTATCTGTTTTGTTGTCTGTCTGCCATCCATGCCCACCTTCCCGTTTCCGGGAAGTCCCCTCGCCACAGCACCTTGGGGAGTGGCAGTGCCAACTCCTAAGTCCAAATACTTATTCTCCTCCCTCTGTTGCAGCTGGAATGTGAGGGCTTGGCAGAGGCTCAGCCAATCAGGTGCCCCCATTCTGGTTTTTGAATCAGGTGCCTGTGATTCCAGGAAGCAGGAACGGGGGAGGATTTATTTCAGCAAAAGAGCCCACAGCGGCGTCCAGTGTCCAGGGGCAGCGGAGAAGTCGGGCAGCAGGGGTGGAGCTCAGGGTCCCGAGCAGTGGGGTTCCGCGGCAGCTGTATCCTCCCCAAACTGGGTCTTCGGGTGACTTCTCACTCTGGCTCCTCCCACCCCACCTCCCAACGCATTTTTTCAGCCTGGCTATGCATTCCCTGAGCTGCCAAAGGGCTCCTTTGCTAAGAACTCAAATTGAGACAGTGACCACGGCCAAATAGTTTAATTTGGGGGATAACGATAATATCTGCCTCACAATTTCTTATGACCTTTAAGTGAAAACGAAGTGTCTGTCCTGTGTTTAGTACAGTGCCTGGCAGATAGCCAGCACTCAATTCACTTTAGTTACAATTTCTTTGTACTGTGGGGGGAGTTCCCATGTACTCATGGGAACCTTACGTGAGTTCGACCTCTACTGTCCCAGTGAATGTGGAACTGAGTTCCTCTGCTGGGGCAGGGGGTGGGGGTGGAGAAAACGGACAGTCTAGAAAAGCTGCTGTGGGTGACACGAGAGAATCGCCAGACACAGACCCGAGAGGGCAAACCCTGTGACTAGGACTGGGTGGCCCAACAGGACACCTGAACATGAGCCCAGGACCTCAACAAAGCATGGGTCAAAAATAAAATCAGAAAATCCCAAGAACCCATTTTAATTTCGGCTTACAAGAATGTTTTGTATCATTTCACAGAACTGAAAGTTTATTTCAGAGTGGAGTGGTGTTGTGTTTTGAATTCTACTTGGGCAACACTATAAACCTCTCTGTGTCAAAGTCACCCACTCAAGGTGTTTGTGAGGGCTTGCTCCGTGTGCAGTGTTGCTGATCAGGACGGGGGAGTTTGGGGGCACTACCCAAGGTGCCATGGAGGTGCCGGGTGTTTGCTTCAGTCCAGGGCTGCAGTAGCCATGCGTCCTTGACGACATCATCCAGGTCTGCCAGACTCGTCATCGAATGACACAACATAGCAGAATGTTGGCAACATTCTGTATTTTGAAGTTAGTCTCCTACCCCTGTTACCCTGGAAAATTTAATGGACTCTGAAAGTGTTTGCTCAGCTATATTGGGTGGGGGTGGGGGCAGTGATAGTAGTGCTGACTTCCTAGGGTTGTTCAGGGGGATCCAGTGAGTAAATCCGCATGAGGCGCTCAGAACACCGCCTGACACCCAGTGACTGCAATGTAAGTACCTGCTGTTATCACTGCAACAAACCAGAAAAAGCCTGGAGATTTCAGGCCCTTCCTTATTACAAGTCTTAGCAATATTTCATAAGCCCCCTTGCAAATTCTTACATACACAGATTGGCCAAGAAGTGAGAAATGGCCTTGACTGAGATAAGGAAAAATTGAAAAAGATGGTTTAAA